TGGTGAGTTGTGTGTACTGAGGTGTGTATGTGTGTGTGGTGAGTTGTGTGTGTGGTGAGTTGTGTGTGTGGTGAGTTGTGTGTCTGTGTGGTGATGCGTGTGTGTACTGTGACTTGTGTGTATGTGTGGTGAGTTGTGTGTGTGTGTGAGTTGTGTGTACTGAGGTATGTGTGTGTGGTGAGTTGTGTGTGTGTGTGGTGAGTTGTGTGTGTGGTGAGGTATGTGTGTGTATGTGTGTACTGAGGTGTGTGTGTGTACTGTGAGGTGTGTGTACTGTGAGGTGTGTGTGTATTGTGAGGTGTGTGTGTGTGTGTGTACTGTGAGGTGTGTGTGTGTACTGTGAGGTGTGTGTATGTGTGTGTATGTGTGTACTGTGAGATGTGTGTGTGTATGTGTGTGTGTACTGTGAGGTGTGTATGTGTGTACTGTGAGGTGTGTATGTGTGTGTGTGTACTGTGAGGTGTGTGTACTGTGAGGTATGTGTGTGTGTACTGTGAGGTGTGTATGTGTGTACTGTGAGGTATGTGTGTGTGTGTACTGTGAGGTGTGTATGTGTGTACTGTGAGGTGTGTGTGTACTGTAAGGTATGTTTGTGTGTACTGTGAGGTGTGTGTATGTGTGTACTGTGAGGTGTGTGTATATGTGTGTGTATGTGTGTACTGTGAGGTGTGTGTATGTGTGTACTGTGAGGTGTGTATGTGTGTACTGTGAGGTGTGTGTGTGTACTGTGAGGTGTGTATGTGTGTACTGTGAGGTGTGTGTGTGTACTGTGAGGTGTATGTGTGTACTGTGAGGTGTGTGTATATGTGTACTGTGAGGTGTATATGTGTGTGTATATGTGTGTGTATGTGTGTACTGTGAGGTGTGTATGTGTGTACTGTGACAGGTGTGTGTGTACTGTGAGGTGTATGTGTGTACTGTGAGGTGTGTATGTGTGTGTACTGTGAGGTGTGTATGTATGTACTGTGAGGTGTGTGTATGTATGTACTGTGAGGTGTGTGTATATGTGTGTGTATGTGTGTACTGTGAGGTGTGTATGTGTGTACTGTGAGGTGTGTGTGTGTGTACTGTGAGGTGTGTACTGTGAGGTGTGTATGTGTGTACTGTGAGGTGTGTGAATATGTGTGTGTATGTGTGTACTGTGAGGTGTGTGTGTGTACTGTAAGGTATGTTTGTGTGTACTGTGAGGTGTGTGTATGTGTGTACTGTGAGGTGTGTATATGTGTGTGTGTATGTGTGTACTGTGAGGTGTGTATGTGTGTACTGTGAGGTGTGTGTGTATTGTGAGGTGTGTATGTGTGTGTGTGTACTGAGGAGTGTATATGTGTGTGTGTATGTGTGTACTGTGAAGTGTGTATGTGTGTACTGTGAGGTATGTGTGTGTACTGTGAGGTGTGTATGTGTGTGTGTACTGTGAGGTGTGTGTGTGTATGTGTGTACTGTGAGGTGTGTGTGTGTGTGTATTGTGAGGTGTGTATGTGTGTGTACTGTGAGGAGTGTATATGTGTGTGTATGTGTGTACTGTGAAGTGTGTATGTGTGTACTGTGAGGTATGTGTGTGTACTGTGAGGTGTGTATGTGTGTGTGTACTGTGAGGTGTGTGTGTGTTTGTGTGTACTGTGAGGTGTGTGTGGATCCCGCGCGTCCAATTCTATTCCAGCTCAGAGCCAATAACAGCGACGAATAATTGAACCGGTCACGGACTTCTCCCGAGGTCGACTCAGCTTTGAATGAGTACCTGGGGCGGTGTGAGTAAACCTCAGCACTGGGAAGACAAAGGCGGCCGACCGCCTTTGTCTCCCACAGTGCTGATAATTAACACACCGGAACCAGGCCATGTACTCATTTACGGCTGAGTCGACCTAGAAAAAATTCGGGACCGGTATAGGTAAGAATCGCGCCGCTCGGAGCACAGTGCGCTAATCACTGCGCCACCACTCCAGCCCTGTCCACCGCCTGCCCATAATCGGCCATGGTCCATCTACTGCCGATTGAAGGCCTCTTCGAGCCGTTGCCAGGTCTCACGATCCTGCGATGCACGAATCCACTCGCTCCCCGTATACAACACACTCACTCACTTTGTAACAGCACCGACATAGACTCAACAATCGTCAATAGCACAGTGACCTTAAAATAACAAGTAAGTATATGACATGCAACGTTTCGGGCAATGGCCCTTCTTCATGGCAAATCCAACAAATATTTGTGTGATCCGTCGATCTATTGGCATACTTAACGGACTTGTTGGGTTCATGTATTTTGACGCTCATCGGCGAGGTGTAGCCTGCAGAGCAGGAGTCCACCTGTGGGTGTGCTGCTGCGATTCAACTATGGCCGGCATCATCAGCAACATCATCATCAGCAGCAGCACAATGGGTCATTCACCACCACTGTCTGTCGTGCCTGCATATGTGTGTACAGACGTAGGACATCCCACGACACTGGAAGTCACAGCAATGCATTCCGTTTACCCAGGAGAGTCGCACTGAGTCGCAAGACTCGTTTGCAGGAGAGTGCTGCTGCATTTGGGTTTTTCGTCATGAATTTCGTGAAGTGTCTGGCTTCGTGTGGGAGGAAACCGGAGAACCAAACCCAGCACAGATGGATTGAGGAATCTACGGCGTCACTGCCGTCTGCTGGTCACCTCGCAGCCGGAGGCGACTACCCCTGCTGTTCCCCGGCAGTCTCCCATCCAAGTGCTCACCAGGCTCAAACCGTGCTTAGCTCCCGAGACACAAGCGAAATGGGGTGCGTTCTGGATGATTTAGGCGCATTCTGGGTGATTTAAGCGCATTCTGGATGATTTAGGCGCATTCTGGGTGATTTGAGCGCATTCTGGGTGATTTAGACGCATTCTGGGTGATTTAGACGCATTCTGGGTGATTTAGACGCATTCTGGGTGATTTAGGCGCATTCTGGGTGATTTAGACGCATTCTGGGTGATTTAGGCGCATTCTGGGTGATTTAGGCGCATTCTGGGTGATTTAGACGCATTCTGGGTGATTTAGACGCATTCTGGGTGATTTAGGCGCATTCTGGGTGATTTAGGCGCATTCTGGGAGATTTAGACGCATTCTGGATGATTTAGGCGCATTCTGGGTGATTTAGGCGCATTCTGGGTGATTTAGACGCATTCTGGGTGATTTAGGCGCATTCTGGGTGATTTAGGCGCATTCTGGGTGATTTAGACGCATTCTGGGTGATTTAGGCGCATTCTGGGTGATTTAGGCGCATTCTGGGTGATTTAGACGCATTCTGGGAGATTTGGTCGCATGAAACTGCACGTACTCGACTAATTGGAACACTGACAAGTCGTCTGGAATGTTTGGCCAATTAATGTTGGGACAAAGAAAATTTTAAACAAAAATATGAAAAGTTGCGACAAGCACGAGAGAGAGGCGCCTCCCTGCAACGAAGCCGAGAGGCAGGAGGAGGGCCACGTGGACGAGAGCACGCACGCTGGGGACGTCACAGTGACCGTGAAGACACATCGAGTGGGGCTCGAGTGGGCCCACGTGACGGCGAGACGAGGCGGCGGTCGAGACTCGCGACGGAGCGGCAGCCCAAGCAGCAGCAACAACAACAGAAGCACGCCCGAGAGGCCGGCTACCGCGGAGATGGAGCGACGATTTCGGCTCGCGCGCAGGTGCTGGTGGGCGGATTGATCGTGAGAGGAGGCCTTCATCCAGCAGTGGATTGGTCATAGCTGATGATGGACATTTTAAAACGCACGTTTACTGAATTGGGAAAGAGACCGTAAGTGTCTGACTTAATAGGTGCTCGCTAACAGCACTTTCCCTAACCGTCTGTTAAAGGCTATAGGAGGAATCTTTGTCTGTACGTGTGGGTCTGCATGTGTAGCGATGGCAATGTATGGGCATGTCTCCTCTGTGTGCATGTGCGCGTGTGTCCGTGCGTGTGTTAAGACTCTACACAACGCCTTGTGTCGCCTCGTGCTCCACACTTGGCAACACAATGGCTTGCGGCGCGCTGGGAGCATGGTGGAGGTGGGGGAGTCTAGGGAGACTCGAAAGAGAAATGGAAGAGGTGGAGGAGAGGGGCTGGGGGGGGGGTAGAGAAAGAGGCGATGATGATGACGATGAGTGCGAGTCCGGGGAAGTGAGGGGATGGCGCTGTGGGTTGCCAGGTTCGTGCGCAGCGCTACGAACCTGGCGACCCAACATCAGCGACGATCATCTGAACCGGTTCTGAGCCTCCCCTACGGTCGACTCCGTCTCAACTGAGGACCCTGTGATCATTCTCTGCTATATTGATGGGGGGGGAAGTTGTCTTTGTTGTTGCTACCACTCAGAACAGCTGTGACTCATCTCGCTGGTGAAACCAAATCAATCTCGTCACACCTCTGCTGAGCTTCCGATATTTGCCGATAGGTCTCATTATTCGGGTCAATTTGCCGAATAATGGCACGTGAGTGAAATACGGCACTTGAACACCACTGCTTGCTGTCGTGTGGCTGGTGTCGATGCAGGGCATCGACCACAACGCCACATTGAGGCGGTCGAGCCACACGACCGCGTCAGGAGCAGTGGCGGAGTGATCCGCTGCGACGTCTCCTTCGGGTTTGCGGATCGGGCGTCGTTATATGTCGCTCCGTCTCTGTCCTGGATGACCACTAATGGAGAGTTTTTAATGTTCCATTTGTGCATCGTCAGGTACCCGCATCTGATACCGTGGTTTGTGCGGTGGATGCGGCTTAGAGTGGACCATGAGCAGCTTCGTGGGAGATCAAACCCCAGGGATCTTCTGCGTTGGGCCTTTCGCAAGGATAAACAACACTGTTTTAATGCAGGGTGATCCATTTACAGACGCCTCACTGATTTAGAATGCACCTTCCGTACTCTCTTCTCGACAGCTGAGTGAACATGGTGCAGCGATAGCGCCACATCCTTGATGAGCAGGCATGTATAACACCCACTCTCTACCCCACCAGCAACACACACACTCGACCCTCTCTTGCGCCACACGCCCGCACACGCATCAGCCAAATGAGTCACTGCTGCTCGGACATTTCCGGATTCAATCGGCGCACATTTATTGTAAACCATACGTTTAAAAACAAATCGACAGTGATCACAAACATAAACCTATATAAATTTACAGTACAGGAAATAGTGTTACACCTCAAGTACTCTTTTTGTTTTAAGTTAAATGCTTTATCACTAAAGTAACTCCCGGATAGATGTAAATATATATTTTACATATTTTAAATCAGGGCAACTTATGGAATAACCAGTGGCGTAGTAGCAGTGTGGATGGCAATAGGCCCTGGCGCAATGGGCCCTGGTCCTGCCCTGGGCAGTCGTCCCGGCCTGCACACTCGATCGTTGCTGCGCCACCGAAGTTCACGGCAGTGAGCAAGACACATGGCCAAGCATCGTCTCGCATTCGGAGCTTCATAATTTATACGACTCATCATATCGCTTCAGTCAAATGCGTGTCGTAAACCCTCCTCCACCCGACACGGTTAATAAATACAATTGTCGCGCGATGGATAAACGTGGCCAATTGCTCGCCGCTTCAGCAGCAGCAGCACCGCTGCGACGTTGGCGAGAGATCCGCGTTGAACGCGTCTCACAATTGGGTACGAGTCTTCCGGCGAAAGTTTCAAAGACTTTAGCCGCGCGGCAACTGTTCTCGCTGTTTAGATGATTTACGGTCGCGGTTCCATTAACAAATCGACATTTTTGTTCCGTTTGTGTCGTTTCTCATCCGTTGGTTTGGTAGTTTTGTTTTCTCGTTCCGTTAGCCTTGGCGCTTCATGAACACAACACGTACCGTATATCATTTGCGTAATAAAATGGGACCGTTTTGACGGTATCACTTGATTCCTTGCAAAAGGTTTATATTTGGTGCTACAACATCTTAACACCTGTTTTTATTGCCAGAAAGGGTAAACGCCTATTAGTATTTTTTCATACATTCGCTTAATAACTGTTAGGGATTCTTGCACAGAACACGCACGCGATTCAGAGCGTGTATACCGCGAGAATAACGGATGCGCCGAATCAACGGATGGTTACAAAGGTAACGTCGATAATCCCTCGCTTATTGTGGCGAAGCAAGCGATCAAATAACGTAATATTAACCACAATTTAAATTACCATTTTCATCCCTGTCAGTAGAATAAACGTTTTTGAACAGTGCACGTGTATCCATGCCATCACTTTAAATTAACTTTTTTTTGTCAAATAAACACTCAATCAACATCGCGAACGTGACCAGGTAACCGACTGCAAATCTTTACATTTTGTTCGAAAGGAAAACACAATACACACTGGCTGCCTGTTCTGGGAAGTCCGACAAGTCTGAAGCTTCCTAAATGAGAAAATGCTTTTTCAAAGTGACCTTTAGGAATGACAACCTGGCACTGCAGTGATCTCAGTGATCTCACTGCAGTGACTGCCACTTTGCTGTCACTATCGTGACTTCTAAACATCTATTTTAAGACATTTCTTCCTCAATGAAGAACTTTCGAAACTTGAAACAACCTGGGTGCAGCCGCGAGACAAGAGCTGTTTTTTTGTGTGTAACATCTTGCGTTACACATTCACTAGCAAAACAAAGGGTCGATCCCCAGCCCCAATGTGCACAAGTTCTTGCACGGGTCTAAGTGCAGATTGTTGCCTATTGTAGGCTTTTGGAGACCTATTGTAGGCTGCTGGGGGCCAAGTATAGGCTTTTGGGGGCTTGCCGTAGACTTTTGTAGACCTGTCGTATTGTTGGAGGCCTAGTTGTAGACTGTTGAGGGCCTAGTGAAGGCTGAGACCAAGTGCATGCTGTTGAAGTATGAGTGTAAGTAAACAATCGGGATTTGCGCACAAAGTCGCTTCATGTTTATGTTGTGTGAGCTGTATTGTCGGCTGTCACGGTCGTTTCATCAGGCAAGGTTTGGGGACAGCCCGACCATAATTATCCTGGGATCTTGCTGTTGTGGAGTCGCGTGGTCTCTTTAAGGTGCGGAGTTAGGAGTGCAGGTCAACCTGCAGGTGACAAAAAGACAGACACACACACAGGTGTTAATAGTCCACTCTAAGAAGCATCTATTTTCAATACTTGTTTTGTATTTCTCCCACAAATGTCACCCTAATTGTGACGTCGCGTCACGAGACGAATCCATTCGGAACTCTCGCACAGCAGCGCAGTTCGGGAACGACCCACGGAAGCGGATATCAAGAGCTACCTAAGAGTAATTTAATGTTTCCCAAAACGGTATTGTTTCTCTGTAGCGGCCACAACCGGGGAGTGTCTGCTGTGATCCGTATTGATTTTATTATCATTCGCCAATAAACCCAAAAATCCGTACTATTGCTATTCGCGATATTATTATAGCCCCAGGATACCACTGTCCGAAATGCATCCTATCCCTTTCTAGCGTATAACAAATAATACGGTCAGAAGCTGAACGCTAATGTCGACATTAGCTGCTGGCCGCGAGTTTGTGCAGTTTTGCCGTTCCTCATCCGTTGAAGGAGCTCAGGCCACAGTGAGTTTATTATATAGTCCATATAAATGCACGAGTAACCAAAGTGTGCGTGGTGTGCCCCGCTCAAACAAACCTGCTCAGGTGTGCTGACCGAGTGCTGTTGGCTTGTGGGGCTCTCGGCGCACGGTCCGCTCTCCGCACACGCGTAGCGCCTCTTCACGAAATAATCTGGACGCAGACCAGCACACATAAAGACAAGGATCCCCCATATAGCCTCAACAGACCACTGAGAGCAACCGGTAACACTGTGGCCGCCGGGCCTCTTGTCGATGTTCATCATAATAAAGGGTTTTAGGTCAACATCGCGTTCCCTATAAATGTGTTAGATCACTTACGTGATCTAACACATTTATAACCTAAAAATCGTTATTATGAGTAACATTGGTCACGAAAGTCAACGTGTTGAACTGTCGACTCGGTCAGCCATGATGTCACTCACACTTCCTCTACACGGGTGGGGGTAAAAACTTCCTCGACGTTGGTTGGCGTCACCGCGGGCACGGCCACAACATCGAAGGTGACTCAAGTCGACGAGTTTCAAACGGGAACCGAACTTGAATTACCCAGTCACGTGGCGTTGATTTTTTTTATCGCAAATATATTCAGGTAGAGGCGCAGCCCGGCAATTGCATGCTCGCGATTCTGCTGCTGGAAGAACCTCCAGGAGAGGAGAGGACGTCTGGCAGAGGGCTCCTCTACTCGATGGTATATTTTTTTTTGGGGGGGGGGCTACGATTTATAACACGCTGGCCAGACGCGTTGAAAGAGAGGGGGGAGCAGCACAGACTTTACCCCACCTCGCGCGACCTGCTGTTTATCCGCATAAGCCGGACTTTGTCAACGGCCAGATGTCTATTACAGGAGGCGAGGGCTGGTTTCGACATTCAGTGTCTCATCAGCAGCAGTTAGGATCGCTTGAAGCAATGGTGAACTGTTAGACCATGGTTCTAGCTCGAAACTAAACATATATAATACAGTACATGACTGCTGATGAGACAATGGATGTCGAAACCGGTCCAGAATTAATTTTCTTGCACTCAACCCAGCGCCGATGTAATGATTCCCTTCCAGAAGGAAGGCCAGCCGTGTGGCTTGGCTGATGGGGTGTGGGTGGACATGACTGTCTGGTTATGCACTTATATGTTCTTCCACAATGACCCTTGCGATGATGACCCTGATGCGGTGTGTAAGGGGCCGTCCATAGATGACGTCACGCGATTTTGGACGATTTTGACCCACCCCCCTTCGTCACACGACGTCACAAAAAGTCAGACCCCCCCCCCTCAAATATGATGTCACAAAGCTCTGCCCCCCCCAAAAAATATATAAAACATGCTTCAAATCGCTTTAAACGATTGTCATTGCAGTGCGTATTTAATGTGACGCTGCACTCTGTTGTAGAAAATATTTATTAAAAAGTATATTAAATTAAGTAGAACGTGTTTTCTATATTTAAAGTTGCGCATTTTGATGTGACGTCACATTTCTCCCCCCCCCTCTCTCCTACGTGCGTAACGTCATTTATGGACGTCCCCTAAGTACATCTCGTGCAACATGGAACACGAGTCAGGCTCGCTCTGCCCTCCCACAAACTTTCCAACGTCCCCACCCCACCCCCTCGGACCCACGTCTCCTGCCGAGACTTGCCCGGGCAAGTCTCGGCAGGGCCAGTCCCAGTTGTCACCCTCCAGAGTCCCCCTCCAGAGTCACCCTCCACCCTCCAGAGTCACCCTCCACCCTCCAGAGTCACCCTCCAGAGTCACCCTCCACCCTCCAGAGTCACCCTCCACCCTCCAGAGTCACCCTCCAGAGTCCCCCTCCAGAGTCCCCCTCCACCCTCCAGAGTCCCCCTCCACCCTCCAGAGTCACCCTCCACCCTCCAGAGTCACCCTCCAGAGTCCCCCTCCAGAGTCACCCACAGGAAATGAGTGTCCAGCCAGAGACACAACACACACCACGACTCGGGTGTTATAACGCCTCTGCCCACTCTCTATCGATGTCCCCATTGCCAGATACCTCGCTTGTTAAATATATTAAACGTTTTTGTTTTTAATTATATTAAGGTCACATCCACACGTACGGCGTTGTGACTGACAAGGGACGTGTCGAGTGTTCTTGTTTCTGCAGCAGCAGATAATGTTTCACGCATTGGTTTAAACTTTACGAAGGGAATGCACATTACATTTCCATATCTGTCCCTCCGCATTTTAAAGCATATTTTGACACATCAGGCAACCTTCCATTCTAGGGCAGTGCATCAACGCGGCGTTGGTTCAACACAAGCTCAGCGGAGAGAGACAGCTCTTTGTAAGAAGGCGGTATTGTCCACCTGTGGGTGACTGTGGATGGGATGAGACGGCTGCATGTATAGACTGAAGGTTGACTACACACGGGGGTGATGATGGTGCGAGCGTGACAGACGAGACCCGTTACCTGTCAGATCAAGGTGCGGCTGCCGCTCGCGACATCTCCGCCGATGGCTCCGTCTCTTCCTGCCGTCTCTGCTGCTGTCGCGCTCGCCTGTCGCGACACGGCGTCGCGAACAACTCGAGCTGCTGCAGTCACCCTCCAGCCTCTCACCATCGTCTCCACCAGCATCTCCCGCCCACGGGTGGACAATGCCGCCGCCACCGCCGCTGACGATGGTCGGCCAGTACAATGTCGGCACCTGCTGTGCGTCCAACTTCTCCCACGCGTAGCGGGACCCCTCCTGCTCTTCCCCTGCCGCATCCAAGCAAGGGGATAGGGGGGTCCCTCTCTCGAAGTCGAACCCCCATCGCTCGCAGTCCCTCTTGGCCAGCTCACACAGCTCTCTCCGCAGCTGCGAGTCGCGTTGCCCCCCCTCCTCGCCCGGACCCCCGAACAGATTCCGGCAAACCGCGGAGTTGAGGGGTCGGAGAGGGTTGCGGGAAAGGGGACCTGCACCCCGATTCGGGGGGTCTCTGGCGGACCCGGAGATCCCCCGGCAGACTTCGACTGAATGAGCCAGAGACATAGCCGCCACTTCACAAAAATAAATGAATGAACCTCACGAGTCGCCTTCAACTGTTGCCTGTGACGCAGGAAACAAATGCAGCGGATGAGCGACTGCGTTGTGGTGCGGGGGGTGGTCCGGGGCCCGGTTCGAGAACCCCCTCTCACTGGGGTCCGTTAGGCGACGTTGTTTTGGTCTCCAAGCGGCTTCTTCACCCTCAAGTCGGAGTCGCGTGCCGCTCGCCAGGGACCGTCAGGGACCCGTCAGGGACCGCCAGGGACCCTCGGGGACCGCCAGGGACCCGCTAGGGACCCGTCAAGCACCCGCCCGCTCGGCTGTTGACGCTGGGACGAGCGCCCCGTCCGGCGGGGAGACGGAGCGGCGGAAGCTGCTCGCGTGCGGGAAGCTACGCGGATTCACACATCGCGGGCGCTGTGTATAGAAGGTTTACGCCGGCCCTTCTTGGACAGCCTTATCATCCAGCAGTGGATAGACCAAGACTGGCTGCTTGCTGCTGCTGCTAATGGGGATGGTGGCGATGATTTAAAACTGCGCACCACCGTTGAGGGGAGGAGATGAGTCGAGCTTATGGAACCCTCGTATCTCCCGCCAGGGATTCGCTCAGAAGTCGCCCGTCACCTGTCAGCGTCGCCCGTCACCTGTCAGCGTCGCCCGTCACCTGGAAGATACCTGTCGGGGCGACAGTAGCCGGGGGCGAATACCTCCACGCGTATCTGAACGCTGCGTCGCAGCAAGCTCAGCTTTTATACGATCCACGTTTGGCGCCAAAACACGTCACGGACCCCGCCCCCAACCGCACCCCTGCTCAGGGCGCGCTTCCCATTGGCTGCAGGGGGACGGGGGGGGGAGGCTACGCCCATCGCGTGACGTCGTTGTGTTGACGTGACTGGAGTCTCTCTCTGGCTGACGTGGGAAGGGTGACTCATGAACGGATGGGATGGATCGTGGGGGTGACTTTCGACATTATGTCATAGGATGGGAGTCGTGAGTCATGAATGGATGAGAGGGGTGATCATTTACACTATGTAACACGATTTGTGTTCCTGGGTAGTGTTGTTTTCTAATTGTTAATGCGTTTTCTCATTTTAAATATCGCTGTCCTGGTCACAAAAGTAAAGTTTGTGGGAAATAACAACAGCCACGTTGTGTACTTGTGAGGCATTAACAATTAGAAAATATCACTTAGTGCCCAGGGACAAACAATAAATGTGTTTTTGTTACACAGTGAATTATAGATGGGATGAGAGGGGTGACTATAGATGGGATGAGAGGGGTGACTATAGATGTGAGGAGAGGGTTGACTATACATGGGATGAGAGGGGTGATTATAGATGGGATGAGAGGGGTGACTATAGATGGGATGAGAGGGGTGACTATAGATGTGATGAGAGGGATGACTATAGATGGGATGAGAGGGGTGACTATAGATGGGATGAGAGGGGTGACTATAGATGGGATGAGAGGGGTGACTATAGATGGGATGAGAGGGGTGACTATAGATGGGATGAGAGGGGTGACTATAGATGGGATGAGAGGGGTGACTATAGATGGGATGAGAGGGGTGACTATAGATGGGATGAGAGGGGTGACTATAGATGTGAGGAAAGGGTGACTATAGATGTGATGGAGAGGGGTGACTATAGATGTGAGGAGAGGGTAACTATAGATGGGATGAGAGGGGTGACTATAGATGAGATGAGAGGGGTGACTATAGATGGGATGAGAGGGGTGACTATAGATGGGATGAAAGGGGTGACTATAGATGGGATGAGAGGGGTGACTATAGATGGGATGAGATGGGTGACTATAGATGGGATGAGAGGGATGACTATAGATGAGATGAGAGGGGTGACTATAGATGTGATGAGAGGGGTGACTATAGATGTGAGGAGATGGGTGACTATAGATGGGATGAGAGGGATGACTATAGATGTGATGAGAGGGGTGACTATAGATGGGATGAGAGGGATGACTATAGATGTGATGAGAGGGGTGACTATAGATGGGATGAGAGGGGTGACTATAGATGGGATGAGAGGGGTGACTATAGATGGGATGAGAGGGGTGAGCATAGATGGATATTTGGAGTTTGCATGTTCTCCCCGTGGTCGCGTGGATTTTTCCCCTCCGCAATCACAATCAACATCACGCGTTTTTGGCCGCTATCCATTTCCACATCATGAGCCACTTCAGTGGGTAATCATTTGTGGCAAGTCAGGTCGTTTCACGTCGGCTTTCGCGACCAATATCATCAATAATAGAGTTGATATGGTGACTCGGGAGACGAGGAGGGAGCCCAGGCACACCGTGCCACTGAGTTAGTGTCGCAGCGCCCTCTCGTGGCGTCGTCTCCTCGTTGCCCTTCGAGCGACGACTCGCGGCCAGCGGACCCACAACGTCGTCTTTATAGCAACTGCAGCTCGCTGTGCGCTCACCTCGTGTCGAGCAAGGGTCCCGGGAGGTAGCGTCACTTCAGGGAGGCCTCTTTGCCCACCTTAGGGGCCCACGTGTCAGTGTTGCCCAACGGAGACCAACAGACGCTGACTATCGTGGGCCTAGTGTGCCGCCTTTTGCTAAGATCATCAAAACGCTCCACCAGAGAGCCCAGCTCAATCACAGCTCAGTCCGAGTCTATGGGAACGTTGTGTGCGTCTCCTCGTCTCTGTACGAGTCTATCGGTCTACGGGTCTATGGGTCTCTATGTGAGTCTTTGGGTCTCCGTGTGAATTGACTGGTATCCATGTCAGTGTATGGGGCTTCATGCCAGTCTCAATAGGTAGCGGCGAATCCATGTGTGCGTATTGTGTCTATGCTACTGGGGAGTTGGTGGCAGTCGCTCTCCAGCACTAACGGAGGGCGGAGGAGCGACCCTCACAACGAGCGGAGCGCCGGGTGGTTAAAATGCAGAAAGCGTGCGGTGGCCGATGACAATTGGTGCATCTGCCAGTCATCACAGCCAGTCATCTCAGCCAGTCATCTCAGCCAGTCATCTCAGCCAGTCATCACAGCCAGTCATCTCAGCCAGTCATCTCAGCCAGTCAACCCACTGCACCTGGGTCTGTCCCGTCACCTCCTGCCAGCGGGCCTTCGACATTTCACGATGCCCCAAAGTGCACCTAGCATGGCACGAGCGCCATGGTGACGTCTCGGCCACTTAGTGGTGAACGGCGGGGTTGTTGTGGTTGTCTGTGTGCGAGCGTGTGCCTACGTGAGCGGTAGTGGAGTGGTTAACGCACTACGCTACGAACCCTGCCACTCCAGTTCGATTCCCGCTCACGGCCAACATCGTTGACGAATATTTGAAGCGGTCCTGGGCACAGGTGCGGTGTGTAGACACCAGCACTGGGGAGACAAAGGCGGCCGGGAATGGTGTTGGTCACCTATTCCTTCGCGTGCCGTGCCCGCCTTAATAGGTGCTCGCTAACAGCGCTTGTCCTCACAGGCTGTTAGAGGCTATATGGGGTATCTTTGTTTGTATCTTTGTGTGTCCGCGTGGGATGGCGCACAATAAATTCACGCTGTTGTCGGCTTCAGGTGATTTCGCATTTTTACTGGAAACCAAATCACGTCACATTTCTCCATCCCGCGCGGCGATCCCCAATACTACCACCCGTTCCTCACTCTCACCTGACACAGGTATTCCACGTGTGTGCGTGTGCGTGTGTATGGCGCAGTGGAGAGCGCAGGTGGTGCATCTGTCAGTCACCCGGAGTCGATTAAACCTATAGCACCTGAGTCGGTCCCATGACCTGCCAGCAGCAACAGTCTGCCTCACTTTACGTGACGGCCTCAAAGTGCACCTAGCCTGGCACAAGCGCTGTGGTGACGTCACCAACATTTCGTGGCAAATGGCGTGCATTTATGTATCTGTTTTTGTATGCCAGTATGTGTCTGTGCTTATGGTGTTTGTGTCAGCATCTTTCTCTACGTTTGTCAGTGTGTTAGTGTGCCTGTGTCTCAATGTGCATAGGTTGACTCAGCCTCAAATGAGTACCTGGCGCGGTGTGTAAACATCGCCACTCAGGAGACAAAGGCGGCCGGGCGTGGTGCTGGCCACCCATCCCCTCGTGTGCCGTGCCGGCCTTCATCAGTGGTGGCTAACAGCACTTGCCCCAAGTCCGTTCAGGCTACACGGGGGATCTTTATCTTTGTGTGTGTCAGTGTGTCTGTGTAATGCGCGCTATGACCCCGCGCTATAACCCCGTTGCAGACGAACGAAACCAAAATCAATTCAACACAAACATCTAAAAACAACACATCAAATAAAAACACCCCGCCAACCTGCACTCACAATCACAAGTGGATGTTCAGTGTAGCAACCACACTACCATCGCCACCACCAGCAACAGCAGTATAATGATCTTAAACACGACTTTCAATTCAATAGTCACATTTGCGCTGGACTCGCGAGCCCACATTCAAAATTTTAGGCTACGTAATGATCTGGCTATAGCTGTGTCGTAAGACACTCCACCATCCTCGACATCGCCAAACACGTGAAGGATTGTTCTTTTGACTCGCTCACGGCTCAGTTAAAGTGACAGGATCGTCGCGTTGGCTTATCAACAACACATCAATCACGAATCATGGGAGTGAAAACCCTGCCACGTGTCCTGTCGACGAGCTCTTGAAGCTACCAATCCTCGGTGAGGCTCAGCCGGGACACGTGGTTGAGGTGGCAGCTCCTCTCTCTATCTGCCCACTTTTACATAGCCACGCTCACTCCAGCACTAGGACCGCCCACACGGCGAGTGATTGGTTCCCTCCCTATTTCTGACGTTGGCCCCGCACCCTGCTCGACTAATAATAATAATTATAATATATTAATTATTACTGATTTCAACTCTCATAGAGAAAAGCGTGAGAAGGAACCAGAGGGACGCGGTGACCCAGCGTTGCCAAGATTTCCACAAGCTCTGCGGTCCTCTATATATGAAAGTGACATCGACAAAAGTGTTTACAAGTGGAATGAAACGGGAGCAGCCGTGAGAGGGGGCAACACTCTATCCCGTACAGATAGAATCGATTTTTTTTCCTGTAGTGCCTTTTCCTGGCGAGCCAGGGCACGGGCTCCTCCTCGTTGCCCGCGGGAAGGGAGTTTCACGACATCTTTGTGTGATCCACCGACCCTCGCTGCTGCTGCCTTCACAGTGCTGGATCATAGGCAGCTATGTGCAGGGTAGCCACCACCACCACCACCACCGCCCGACTGGGTAGCAACGCCCTTTTCCCGCCTCATCCTCACCATGATCAATCCACTGCTGGATAAGTCGAGCACGAGGCCAGAACGTGTAGTTCACGAGGCCAAATGACGCTTCGGGGTGGAGGAGACACGGGGGGGGGGGGCAGAGTCGGTGGCACCACTGGGACAGTCCCGACCCCGGGCCAGGAGATTTGGTAGCTTCACGTTTCTACTTCCCCATTGACTTACAGGTGAAATGGTCGTGCCACTGATGCCACTGCAGCGTGACGGCAGCTACAAGAGAAGAGCCGTGCTTTTTGTTGTGTGTGGATTCCTTTAATGTTGGGGATTGTGCGAACCCAGGTCGCCGCGCCTCACAGTGCAGGTGCAAACTACACCGTTACACGCTACACATGCCAGATGATTGGTTAAACGCGTCCCGTCACGGCGGTACCAAGCGCTGAATCTAATCAATATAACTTTTTTAATAATATAATTACTATCAATTAATTTAAATCGTCACCCGGCTACTGCATTACGTTGGACGTGTTTACCAATCATCCGGCGCGCACAGCGCGTGCGACGACTTAATTTGCAAAGGCTTCGGTGCCGACTCGCTGCTGCAGTTTGCCGCAAGAGAATGATTGGAGTGCAATCCCGACTCTCCACACTCGCCTTGTCCGAACACGCCCTGTTACGCACGGTCCCTGTCTCACGAATACAATGACGGAGATTGGTAAACATGGGCAGGGCCACACGTGGCGGGTCGCAAGGACTAAAGTCTGGAAACCTCGGATTAATTACGGGGTGGGGGGGGGCGGTGAGATAATGAGATGCAGAGCAGGCACCGATTCAGTGGTCAGTCACGGATCCGTGGTGAGTCACGGATCCATGGTCACGGATGCAAGGTGAGTCACGGATGCAAGGTGAGTTACGGATGCAGGGTGAGACACGAGGACGACGACAGAGAGTCGCTGTGGATATGTAGGCCACGTGTCCTCTGCTCGTGGAGCAGAGGATGCAGATATGCAGTGGGGGGGAGGCAGGGGGGGGGGGTGCAGGGTTACGTCAGCCGCCCTGATTGTGTGGGGCTGTATTAATGATTATTATTGCTTTACTTTCACTCGTACAACTCATTGTGTTCGCTGTCGTTTTTTGCTGTTGCTGTTACTGTTGTTACATTACGTTATCATTATTGTTGCTGTTGTGCATATTGTATTGTTGTGGTAACGACTGTTGTTGTTGTCGATGATGTTTCGGGGATGCGACATCACCGCTTGCTCCTCACGCCGGCTGCGATCCCGACCACAGACCTGAGACAGTCCTGAGGGAGGGATGGGACGGAAGGTGATCGTGTTTTTACCAATGACGATGATATCACATGATGAGGATGATTGTGATGATGAAACTGATAATGATAGTGATTGTGATAATAATACCGCTGATGATGAATGGCGGTATCATTGTTGATAACGATACCACTGATGATGATTATGATACTGAAACCACATCCCTGATGTGGATCATAATGATGCAATCAAAAATCATTGTGATACTGATATCCCGAATGGTGATTATGATTGCGATGCTGATATTGATGATACTAAGTATGATAAAAACTTATCTCACGAGTCACTATGATGATTATGATGATAATGATGAAACTAATACTGTATCACTTATGGCTATCATTTTAATTTCCCAACTCACTGGTAAATGGAACCACTGAATCCATCCACGTATCCTCCTGGATGTGGGGGCGAGCAGAGGGAAGGGCAGGGGGTAGAATTTGTTCATCAGGAGATGGGCTCTAATTAATCCCGCTTGTGTGACCGCGTTATGAATCAGGGCGTTACAAACAGGTTGTGTAAGAAGGACATCAACCACAACATGAACAACATCAGCAGCAACAACAACATCAACTAGAACAACAACCTCATCAACATCAACTAAAACAACATCATCAGCATTATCAACAGCGGCTAGCACAACAACGACACCAACACGAACCTTCATCGACAACTATTCACAACTATTCGAACAACAACAACGACGACTTGATTACCAACATCACCAACCACGAACTGTGCGTGTGTCTGAACCGGTCCTGGGGCTCCCCTAAGTCGACTCAGCTTTAAATGAGTATCTGGTGCAGAGTGTAAATGTCACCCCTTGGGAGACAAAGGCGGCCGGGCGTGGTGCTGGCCACCGATCCCCTCGTGTGACGTGCCGACCTTCATAGGTGCTCGCTCGCAGCACTTGCCCATACAGTATGTTGAGGCTATAGGGGGGATATTTATCCATTTTTGTACGTGTGTATCCCCTGTGTGCGTGTATGTACTCATGTACGTGTCATTATGTACGTGTCATTACGTATGTGCTAAAACACAGCAAGTTAGCACAGTAGGGGGCACAGGTGGTGCATATGCCAGTAATCTCAGTCAGTCAACCCATGGCACCTGCGTATGGGTTGTGCTGTGACCTACTGCCAGCAAGCCTTCGATACTTGACGTGGCCTCGGAGTGCACATAGCCTGGCACAAGCGCCGTGGTAATGTCACCACCACTTAGTGGAGAATGGCACATATGTATGTAGATCTTCTTTCACGCCATAGGTAGCAAGCCGCGCTAACTAGAGGTGCGGGGGAAGGACACAAAACTGAACACTCCCGTGCGTGTGTGGGTGTCCGTGTGTGTGAAGTCACCTGGCTGACACAAGGTGTCGCAGAGAACCGGACAGAGGTGACACGCGTGGCAATACTGCGATAAAGGCAAAGACAAAGCTCACAAAGCACGTTGGGGGGCAGGGCGGTTACGAAGGCCGTGTCGGAAGCAAGTAGCTATTTTTATTTGACCGGGTAAGGTCCACTGAGCTATGTAGCTCTTTGTCAGAAGCGACCTGGCTATCACAAACGATAACTCGATGAAGTGACTTATCGTCGTCGCGCGGAAATGTATAGCAGCCAAAGACTCTAAACCCATGATTCTAAATGTGGAGAGAGGACTCGGAGAAAAATCCACGCGACCACGGGGCGAGAGAGACACACAAACTCCAAATAGACAGCAGCTGGCGTCAAGGTCGGGATCAAACCCACGACCTCCTGCATACTAGGCGAGGTAGTTAACATCTCCTAGCTACCGTGGCGACTTAGGCAGGGTGGCCCTGGATCCTAGGGCGTGGCTGGTCACCCACCGGCATGCGCTACGGACACTCAATTTAAACGGGCGACGTTTCGGGCAACGGCCCTTATTAATGGCACGTAGAAAACTCGTGCAAGACAAGGTGCTGCAGAGCTGCTACGTGGTGGACGGAAGCAGCAGCAGAGGGCAGAGCAGCAAAAGCAATTGTTGTCCTGTACTATGCTCCCAGCGTCTATGCTCCCAGATGTATCAAGTTGTATTTATCTATCTAGCTATTAATTAATTAATTACGTAGGGGTATGAACGTACCTTGCAGTTGGCGCAGTGCGAACTCTCATCGCCTTCCTCACACGGACACTGTCTGCACGTGGTGTCACAGCCCTGGGGGGCGGGGGGTTAGAGGGGGGGGGGGGCAGGGGGGAGGTGCGGTGGGGGATCAGGGGTAGCCGGAGGGAAGCCGCCATCTCGTGCTGGGTATTGTTTGGCTTTGCCTCGAACTTGGAGCCCGTGTCTAGCAGCACCGTTGATGAGACGCCGAACGTCGAAACCTGGTGCAGAGCTTTGCTCGTAGTTCAGTGCTTCTCACGAGATGCACTCCCAGAATGGAGGAATGCCGTGTGGCTGATCGGATGTGTGTAAAAAAAAGTATTTTATTTGACATCTTAAACATGTGTCTATTTTGTGGAGGGAGAGAGGCACGTGAAGGAGGTATAAATAATTATTATTATTACGTTGTTGCTCGTGATGATGATGTTGTGATGATGTCTTCTACGCCGATGCAAGATCCATCACATGTATCGTCTTATCTCACCTTACATAGATGTTAAATAGCAGCGCCTCATTGCTTAAACAATAATTATACAATTGTGCATAAGATGATAGTGATTGAGAAAATGAAGAGTTGGGTTTGTTATTAAAGTGGTGGTGGCTATGGAGACGGGAGAGCAGGTGGGAGTGGTGAAGGAGGGGTAGGGGTTGGGGTAGTGATAGGGGTAGTGATAGGGGCTGGGGTAGTGATAGGGATAGGGGTAGTGATAGGGGTAGGGGTTGGGGTAGTTATTGGGTAGTAATAGGGGTTGGGTAGCTATAGGGGTAGTGATTGGAGTAGGGATAGTGATAGGGGTTGGGGCTGTGTTAGGGGTAGGGGTAGTGATAGGGGTTGGGGTAGTGATAGGGGTTGGGGTAGTGATAGGGGTTGGAGTAGTGATAGGGGTTGGGGTAGTGATAGGGTTGGGGTAGTGATAGGGGTTGGGGTAGTGATAGGGGTTGGGGTAGTGATAGGGGTTATGTTAGGGGTAGTGATCGGGGTAGTGATCGGGGTAGTGATAGGGGTTGGGGTTGTGTTAGGGGTAGGTGTAGTGATAGGGGTAGTAATATGGGTAGTGATAGAGGTTGGGGTAGTGATAGAGGTTGGGGTAGTGATAGGGGTTGGAGTTGTGTTAGGGGTAGGGGTAGTGATCAGGGTAGTGATAGGGGTTGGGGTAGTGATAGGTGTTGGGGTAGTGACAGGGGTTGGGGTTGTGTTAGGGGTAGGTGTAGTGATAGGGGTAGGGGTAGTGATAGGGGTAGAGATAGGGGTTGGGGTAGTGATAGGGGTTGGGGTAGTGATAGGGGTTGGGGTAGTGATAGGGGTTGGGGTAGTGATAGGGGTTGGGGTAGTGATAGGGGTTGGAGTTGTGTTAGGGGTTGGAGTTGTGTTAGGGGTAGGAGTAGTGATCGGGGTAGTGATAGGGGTTGGGGTAGTGATAGGGGTAGGGCTAGTGATCGGGGTAGTGATAGGGGTTGGGGTAGTGATAGGGGTAGTGATAGGGGTAGTGATAGGCGTAGTGATAGGGGTAGGGGTAGTGATAGGGGTTGGGGTAGTGATAGGAGTTGGGGTAGTGATAGGGGTTGGGGTTGTGTTAGGGGTAGTGATCGGGGTAGTGATAGTGATAGGGGTAGTGATAGGGGTTGGGGTAGTGATAGGGGTTGGGGTTGTGTTAGGGGTAGTGATAGGGGTTGGGGTAGTGATAGGGGTAGGGGTAGTGATAGGGGTTGGGGTAGTGATAGGGGTAGGGGTAGTGATCGGGGTAGTGATAGGGGTTGGGGTAGTGATAGGGGTAGGGCTAGTGATCGGGGTAGTGATAGGGGTTGGGGTAGTGATAGGGGTAGGGGTAGTGATAGGGGTAGTGATAGGCGTAGTGATAGGGGTTGGGGTAGTGATAGGAGTTGGGGTAGTGATAGGGGTTGGGGTTGTGTTAGGGGTAGGGGTAGTGATAGGGGTAGTGATAGTGATAGGGGTAGTGATAGGGGTTGGGGTAGTGATAGGGGTTGGGGTTGTGTTAGGGGTAGTGATAGGGGTTGGGGTAGTGATAGGGGTAGGGGTAGTGATAGGGGTTGGGGTAGTGATAGGGGTAGGGGTAGTGATAGGGGTTGGGCTCAGCCTGGTCGTAGCTGGGGGTGGGGCAGGGGAGCAGCAGTGCCAGGACGACGCTGGGCGAGGGGAGAAGAGATTGGGGGTTGTGTTCAGGGAGGATTGGAAGTAGGCTCCAGTGAAGATTATTGTTTCATCTGTGGATTTTGATGAATGTGATTCACGTTTTTGGTTTCATAACCATCTGCGTTGGAATTCACATTAAATAACGCTTGGGACACGGACCAAGCGTTTGGAATTATATTACTGCAAGACGTTGACAAACAGTCAACTAGGACTTGGCAAAGCGAGAAATGCAACGATGCAATGAGTGAACTGAATAATTCATAAAGAAAACACCCGTGGTAATGTCACGTGATGATCTGGGTCAAGTTTGTGTCGTGAAGACTCTCCACCACCCGACACGGCCGAGCAAATTAAATTGGCACGCGGTGCTCGAGCGGCTTTATGATGCGCCGATGGCGATCGTTCCATCTCGCTCAGCCGGCGAGCTGGAGAGCAAATCCCAGTCAGATGTAGTTCATTCAAATTTTGATATCTAACAGCGAATTCCAAAGTAGGGCAGTGGGAGGGAAGGAGCAGCAATGTGACCCGCAGCGTAGTGAGTGGGTGAGTGAGTGGGTCAGTGAGTTGGTGAGTGGGTGAGTGAGTGGGTGAGTGAGTGGGTAAGTTGGTGAGTAGATGAGCGAGTTGTGACTTGCAGTGTAGTGAGTGTGTGAGTTGGTGGGTGAGTGTGGTTGAGTGAGTTGTTGTGACCTGCTTTGTGGTGGTTGTTGTTGAACACGGTGTGGTGGATTAGACGACACAGTCAGCATCTGGCACAGACCGAGTCTTCAACACGGGTGGAGGAATAGAATAGTCATGTTCACGCGAGCGGTAACCATGGCGGTAGTAGCGGTAGAGGAGTGATAAGAAGGCGACTGACTGAAGGCGAGTGAGCGAGTGACTGTGGAGTGAATCCGTGCGTCCCGGATCACCGGTCAGCCTGTCTGCTGCTTCACTAGAGAGTGGTGCTGTGAGGGAGGAATGGGGCACTCCACCCCAGGGTTGACAGCAATCTGAGCACAATCGGTGCTGGGTGTACCATCAGTGATTGTTCGGAGTTAAAGATGATGATGACGACGACGATGACGACGACCGTGCATCCTCTCACTCACGTGACACAGAGAGCAGAGGGCACACAGGGACCCGTCCTGGTAGGCTGCCTCGTCCTTCCCGGAGCGATCCTGCGGCTCCTCTGTGAGCAGACGAGGGGGAGGCGCAGGGGGGTCGAGGGGAGGTGGCGGAGGGGAGGGAGACGGGTTGTTATCGATAGGGTTACTTTGGGTAACCAGATGTGCACACGGACAGTACTTAGGAATGCAGTATAGGGTGCAATGATACGGATATACGTAGCTTGTCCTCTCGTGGTAGTGCCTTACGCCGATATTCCCGACTTCAAGCCAGTCTAGCAGCGTTCACGAAAATCTCGAGTGAGAAAAGACGCCCTTGTGTTATCACTTAATGACAGTGATTATGATTTTACTGTCACTGATGATAATGATGATGACGATTGTGATAATCATATCACTGACGAACGTGAGTCGCTCATTTCAGCTCCTGAAGAAGAAGCTCCCAACACGTGCCGCGAAACGTCGGACATCCCGCCGAGCGACACGCGGTTTAACCCGAAGACGCAGCGGAGCTGATTCCCTGCGCCGCAGCCGACTCTGCCGCCCTCCAGCGGCGATGTCTGGTAGCGGGCGCCTCCGATTAGCACGGTTGGAGACGCACGGTGCGAAAGAAGTTCAACGTAGAGTAAGTACATGCTGATGATGGGGCTAACACACAGACACACACACACTCTAAGCTCCGCACAGATGAATTCAGCAATCCGTTGTTGTACAGACATCTGCTGGCTACCTTGCAGCTACACAGAAAGCACGCACACGTGCTCCTAGACCAGCGTGCTCACCCCAGGCTACCAGCGACCCTGAACATAATTCCGCACCCGGCACACCACGTCCATAATACCTCTCGCTACGGCTGTGGCTGCTGCTAGTCACGTGCCACCCACTCCATGCAGTGGTTCGGGTGGCACGGCAAATACTGAGTGGAGATTGCACCGACGATATCGATCTATGGGAAACAGCGGCGTGGAGTACGGATCCGCTCCTTACCTTGAGTCGTGTCCACCACCACCTGTTCCACCACCTCCTCCACAACCTCCTCATCCTCCACGTCCACCTCCTCGTCCTCCTCGCCGTCACCACCGTTCTCTGTGCCCTGCGTTGTGTCTCCCTCCTCCTCCCCTTCCTCCTCTCCCACATCTTCCCCTTGTTCCGACCACTGCTCCTCCTCCTCATTCTCTTGCTCCTGGTCCTGAACATCTTCACTCGTCACCTCCTCATCATCATCATCGTCATCGTCGTCGGCTCCTACTGCCACATCTTCTTCCTCGTCCCCTGCCTGATCACTATCTTCGTCTACGTCATTACCGTGATCGTTCTGCTTAACATCGCTGCCATCGTTAGCTTCATCAGCTGCATGATCATCATCTTCAGCTACATCATCTTCATCATCTTCATCGTTCGTCGCGGCATCTGCCTGTGCGCTCTGATGTTCCTCAACAACATCTCCGAAATCAGCATCATCAGTGCCTTCATCTGCGACGTCTGCACCACCATCACCACCATCATCAACCCCATCATCCACAACTCCCTCCGTTGTTTCCTGTTCTGCTTCATCATCAACACCATCGGTGATGTCGTTGTCATCACCATCATCATCAACATCACCGCCATAGGTATCAACATCACCGCCATAGGCATCAACATCATCGCCATAGGCATCAACTTCACCGCCATAGGCATCAACATCACCACCGCCATCAACACCGCCGATGTCACCTTCAGCATCGCCACCATCATCAACATCACCATCGAAGTCGACATCACCACCAGCAGCAACATCGCCACCATCCAAGTCGCGGTCGTCATAATGGACCTCGTGGTCGTCCATCGCCGGCGCTTCTCCATCGTGAGCGGCAAACTCCTCGTGGCCATCACCGCCGTCACCCGCGACATCGCCGCCGTGAGCCCCCGCGGCCTGAGGTCCCATGGCCATCACAAGCAGCGATGCCATCACCGCCCCCATCACCAGCAGCGGCAGCATCCTCCCGGAGCCCACGCGGCGACGCGGCCGCTTGGACGTCGTCATCGTCATCATCATCGCCGTCATCATCGTCGTAGCCGCCACCGTCATCATCCTCGTCATTGGCGTTGTCCTGGATTCTCCTCCTGCAGCACGCGTCGTGACCTGGCGGGTGATGGTGGAGATGACGATGAGACGATGATGGCGGCGGGGGTGGTGGTGGTTAGATTTTACAAGAGATGCATAGAGCTTCCCCCCCCCCCCCACACTCATTCGATCTTTTTTGCTAACTTCGAGTGACCCCACGCACCCAGCCGGCCTCACAGATTGAGAACTCCCCAAAGAGTCACAGCTGGCACGGCCCGGTTCACGTCCGCGCCTTCACAACAGAAGCCAAGGAAGGTCGACGTCTCAAACTAATTATTCTGCTAATTAACCTCACTGACAATTATTAGGTCAATTACTGGAAGCTCTGGATACACGCGGGCATAGCACACTCAGAGTGCTGCTGAGAGGGCCCGGTAGCGTGTTGGTGTGATGAGAGAGAGAGAGATTCGGGGAGAATAGACAGTGAGAGAGTAGGAGGAGAAAGCGAGGGAAGGAGAGAGCAGGAGGGAGCGTAGGAGAGTGTGAAAACAAGTGGATAGTAGGAGAGAGGGTAGGGGAGGTAAGAGGAGACAGGATGAGAGAGTGGGAGAGTTCAACAGAGAGGGGAGACTGGGAAGCGAGACAGTACGGGGGAATAGGGGAGAGGAGGAGAGAGAGAGACGAGGTTAGAGAGAGAAGGGGGGAGGTGAGGAAAGCAGAGAGCGAGACAGCGAGAGAGTAAGAATAGGGGAGAGCGTGAGTGGTGGAGGGGAGAGAGAATGCGCAGTCACGTCCTCCTGCTAAGTGGGCCGGGATCTCTGAGTGATGGACAAGAGCAGGTGCGTGTGTGTGTCAGCGTACGTGTCAGTGTGTGTGTGTCAGCGTGTGTCAGCGTATGTCAGTGTGTGTGTCAGCGTACGTGTCAGTGTGTGTGTGTCAGCGTACGTGTCAGTGTGTGCGTCAGCGTACGTGTCAGTGTGTGCGTCAGCGTGTGTGTGTCTGTGGGGATCGGTGTCGCAGTGATTATCTCACGGCCACCAACATCGGTGACAATTATCTGAACCAGTCCTGGGCCTCACCTAGGTCGACTCAGCCTCAAATTTGTACCTCCGATTATCACGGTTGGCTACGTACGGTACGAAAGAAATTCAACATACCTACACTAGGGAAACAAAGACGGCCGGGCGTGATCACAAAGATCACCCACCCCGTCGCGTCCCGTGCCAGCCGTCATAGGCGCTGCTCCCTAACAGCACTTGCCCCCTACAGTATGTTTTGGCTACACGGGTGATCTTTGTCTTTGTGCGTCCGTGTCCCCCATCACCTCTGCACGGGGCCCTGAGCGCTGCTGCTTCTGCTGCCGTCACGTGCTTCTTAAACGGGCCCCACGTGGGAATTCGGCCCCAAGGTGGATCGTCAATCCCGGGAGCTGGGCACGCGTGGGTGGGTGCCGGGGCGAGTTCGTCGGTGGGCGACTCCTCGACCTCGTGGCGAGGCCGAGGGGTCGGCAACCTGCGGCTCTTTGGCTGCCCCCCCTCCCCCCTGTGGGCAGCCGTTTAAAAAAAAAGTTTATCTTAAAATATTATTTAACGAAAAGACAATTGATGAAATACGGCAGGGGAATGGGTCACTGTGGAATGTTTTGGTGGCAGCAACAACAAAAAACTAAATCGACGCCGTTTATTCCATCACGTACGTGTTATTTAAGTCGGAATGTGTTGTCGTTGTTGTCGTCTGCTGCATAGCTGCCGAGTCTGTGTTTATGTACAAGGAGCTCTGCGTGTGATGCCGCTCTCCAACTATTTTGGTCAAAGACAAAAATAATTTTCTAAAAAATGTCTCTTCTTCGTCTTAGCCTTCGTCTCAAAGTCTGCCGGCCCCTGGGCTCTCGTTACAGAAAGAGCTCCTCACTGGAGGTCGCTTCGCTGGCGAGGGATACGGCGGGAACTGCAGGGGGCTTAGGGGTAGGGCTCGTGTTAGCAGTGGCTGGTTGCAAAGCTATCCAGTTCGGGTGCGTACTGGTGGCTAGTTGGCTCGTTAGGGATAGATAGATAAGGGTGGTGGTAGTCGTGGCAGGTTGGCTAGTTAGGGATAGTTAGGTAAGGTTGGTGGTAGTCGTGGCTAGTTGGCTAGTTAGGGATAGTTAGATAAGGGTGGTGGTAGTCGTGGCTAGTTGGCTAGTTAGGGATAGTTAGATAAGGGTGGTGGTAGTCGTGGCTAGTTAGGGATAGTTAGATAAGGGTGGTGGTAGTCGTGGCTAGTTGGCTAGTTAGGGATAGTTAGATAAGGGTGGTGGTAGTCGTGACTGGTTGGCTAGTTAGGGATAGTTAGATAAGGGTGGTGGTAGTCGTGGCTGGTTGGCTAGTTAGGGATAGTTAGATAAGGGTGGTGGTAGTCGTGACTGGTTGGCTAGTTAGGGATAGTTAGATAAGGGTGGTGGTAGTCGTGGCTAGTTAGGGATAGTTAGATAAGGGTGGTGGTAGTCGTGGCTAGTTGGCTAGTTAGGGATAGTTAGATAAGGGTGGTGGTAGTCGTGGCTAGTTAGGGATAGTTAGATAAGGGTGGTGGTAGTCGTGGCTAGTTGGCTAGTTAGGGACAGTTAGATAAGGGTGGTGGTAGTCGTGACTGGTTGGCTAGTTAGGGATAGTTAGATAAGGGTGGTGGTAGTCGTGGCTAGCTGGCTAGTTAGGGATAGTTAGATAAGGTTGGTAGTCGTGGCTGGTTGGCTAGTTAGGGATAGTTAGATAAGGGTGGTGGTAGTCGTGGCTGGTTGGCTCGTTAGGGATAGTTAGATAAGGGTGGTGGTAGTGGTGACTGGTTGGCTAGTTAGGGATAGTTAGATAAGGTTGGTGGTAGTCGTGGCTGGTTGGCTCGTTAGGGATAGTTAGGTAAGGTTGGTGGTAGTCGTGGCTAGTTGGCTAGTTATGGATAGTTAGATAAGGGTGGTGGTAGTCGTGGCTGGTTGGCTAGTTAGGGATAGTTAGATAAGGGTGGTGGTAGTCGTGGCTAGTTGGCTAGTTAGGGATAGTTAGATAAGGGTGGTGGTAGTCGTGACTGGTTGGCTAGTTAGGGATAGTTAGATAAGGTTGGTAGTCGTGGCTGGTTGGCTAGTTAGGGATAGTTAGATAAGGTTGGTAGTCGTGGCTGGTTGGCTAGTTAGGGATAGTTAGATAAGGGTGGTGGTAGTCGTGGCTGGTTGGCTCGTTAGGGATAGTTAGATAAGGGTGGTGGTAGTCGTGGCTGGTTGGCTCGTTAGGGATAGTTAGGTAAGGTTGGTGGTAGTCATGGCTAGTTAGGGATAGTTAGATAAGGGTGGTGGTAGTCGTGGCTAGTTGGCTAGTTAGGGATAGTTAGATAAGGTTGGTGGTAGTCGTGGCTGGTTGGCTAGTTAGGGATAGTTAGGTAAGGTTGGTGGTAGTCGTGGCTAGTTGGCTAGTTAGGGATAGTTAGATAAGGGTGGTGGTAGTCGTGGCTAGTTGGCTAGTTAGGGATAGTTAGATAAGGGTGGTGGTAGTGGTGACTGGTTGGCTAGTTAGGGATAGTTAGATAAGGGTGGTGGTAGTCGTGGCTGGTTGGCTAGTTAGGGATAGTTAGATAAGGTTGGTGGTAGTCGTGACTGGTTGGCTAGTTAGGGATAGTTAGATAAGGTTGGTGGTAGTGGTGACTGGTTGGCTAGTTAGGGATAGTTAGATAAGGGTGGTGGTAGTCGTGGCTGATTGGCTAGTTAGGGATAGTTAGATAAGGGTGGTGGTAGTCGTGGCTAGTTGGCTAGTTAGGGATAGTTAGATAAGGTTGGTAGTCGTGGCTGGTTGGCTAGTTAGGGATAGTTAGATAAGGGTGGTGGTAGTCGTGGCTAGTTGGCTCGTTAGGGATAGTTAGATAAGGGTGGTGGTAGTCGTGGCTGGTTGGCTAGTTATGGATAGTTAGATAAGGGTGGTGGTAGTGGTGACTGGTTGGCTAGTTAGGGATAGTTAGATAAGGGTGGTGGTAGTCGTGGCTGGTTGTCTAGTTAGGGATAGTTAGATAAGGTTGGTAGTCGTGGCTGGTTGGCTCGTTAGGGATAGTTAGATAAGGGTGGTGGTAGTCGTGGCTGGTTGGCTAGTTAGGGATAGTTAGGTAAGGTTGGTGGTAGTCGTGGCTAGTTAGGGATAGTTAGGTAAGGTTGGTGGTAGTCGTGGCTAGTTGGCTAGTTAGGGATAGTTAGATAAGGGTGGTGGTAGTGGTGACTGGTTGGCTAGTTAGGGATAGTTAGGTAAGGTTGGTGGTAGTCGTGGCTAGTTGGCTAGTTAGGGATAGTTAGATAAGGGTGGTGGTAGTCGTGGCTGGTTGGCTAGTTAGGGATAGTTAGATAAGGGTGGTGGTAGTCGTGGCTGGTTGGCTAGTTAGGGATAGTTAGATAAGGGTGGTGGTAGTCGTGGCTGGTTGGCTCGTTAGGGATAGTTAGATAAGGGTGGTGGTAGTCGTGGTTGGTTGGCTAGTTATGGATAGTTAGATAAGGGTGGTGGTAGTCGTGGCTGGTTGGCTAGTTAAGGATAGTTAGATAAGGGTGGTGGTAGTGGTGACTGGTTGGCTAGTTAGGGATAGTAAGATAAGGGTGGTGGTAGTCGTGGCTGGTTGGCTAGTTAGGGATAGTTAGATAAGGGTGGTGGTAGTCGTGGCTAGTTGGCTAGTTAGGGATAGTTAGATAAGGGTGGTGGTAGTCGTGGCTGGTTGGCTAGTTAGGGATAGTTAGATAAGGGTGGTGGTAGTCGTGGCTGGTTGGCTAGTTAGGGATAGTTAGATAAGGGTGGTGGTAGTCGTGGCTAGTTAGGGATAGTTAGATAAGGGTGGTGGTAGTCGTGGCTACTTGGCTAGTTATGGATAGTTAGATAAGGGTGGTGGTAGTCGTGGCTGGTTGGCTAGTTAGGGATAGTTAGATAAGGGTGGTGGTAGTCGTGGCTGGTTGGCTAGTTAGGGATAGTTAGATAAGGGTGGTGGTAGTCGTGGCTGGTTGGCTAGTTAGGGATAGTTAGATAAGGGTGGTGGTAGTCGTGGCTGGTTGGCTAGTTAGGGATAGTTAGGATAAGGGTGGTGGTAGT